TCACTTTTACTTTCCTTCGCCTTTCTTTCCTTTCAAGCAATGTGGCGACTTTGCTTTTGTTGGTTCCTTTGGACACCTAGATCATGAAACAAATCAATATCCATCGATCTATCAATCAATCAAGACAACAAAAATGCAGCAATCTTTATAGAAGTACTAAGCAATATTTATTCATAAGCTTGCATCTTTGTTATTTCCTTCCTTCTGGAGGCAGAATGAATGCTCAAAATTAGGCACTGGCCTTGCATGTGGTACTAGAGTCCTTCGTAGAGATGATTCAATGCCTTCTCTTCCTCCACCTGCATACATATAAAAAGGTTTCAAGTATATTTCAGTTTAAATCAAGCAAGCTAGTAGTACCGAACAACTACACAAAAGCGGGCACAGAAATATGCATTTCGACCGTGCTCCGATCGCGCCCCGTACACTTACGAGTTATCACTTGTAAAGCTGGAGGAATGGATTGTTATACCTCTGTATGGAGATGGAATTATGGAATTATGAAATTTTGGACGCCTTTTTCGAGCTTTGAATTATGGAATTAGCGGTTATTTTTTATATTGAAGTTTATGATTATTTTGGGTATGGTTTATATGCTTTGAGAAATTGTTGTTTACATAATGTTTGAATAACTAGGCAAGCGGTTTATGAGGGTTGGGTACTTTGTTGATTGTTATGTGAGTTTCGTATTTGCACCATGATAAGTACCCTCTCCTGGTTACGTTACCCACACGTGACATTGGATTTTTCGGCGTGTGGGCTCACTTGGTTTTGTTAGTACTTTGGGACACGTGGCATTGGATTTTCCGGCATGTGGTAAAGCAGTTTGCGCTCGTAGGACATGGTTTGGTTTGGTTTGGCCACACATGGTTTTGGATTTTCCGACGTGTGTGCTGTAGAGTGGTAGTCCCCTCGTTGGACAGCTCATCCCTAGACACAGGATAGAAAGTTGAAACCCTGCAGGCCAGTCAAACAATCCCCATGTTGGATTGTTTCCCCTCGATACTCGTGATGGTGTGAGGTTGTCGTATATAGATATTATATGTATATTTATGAATTTGGGGTGTATATCTACACAGTCATGAGAGTTTTCGTGGTCTATATGTATATAATTATATATACGTGTACGCTTAATTATTTTAAAAGCTTTCCTCTCATATTACATTTTGTAAACCTATATCTCGGGAAGGGGTTTGGTTAGAGTCAAAAGAATTGAACTTGGTTAGTACTATACTATATCGGGAGTATGAGAGTACCTCAGTTTCAAATTGATTACGTATGAATGGTTCCAATTGCATGTTTTTAGCATCGTTTTCCAAACAGTGGGATTAGTATGTTGTTTTCAATTATGATAAAACTTAGTTTTTGTCCACTCACAATTTTTGTTTTGCGTCCCCCAGGCAGTAGCTTGATCTGAGCCGAGCAGCCGAGCCAAGATTTGCACTTCTGAGCCCTGAACTTCTGTAGGGCAACGTTTAATTGTTTTTGTTTCCGTTGAACATTTGTTTTCGGTTGTAAATTGAAATTTCCTTAGAATTGCTCTGTTATCGCCCATGTAGGGTTGAATGAATGGCCGGAGGCCTATTCTGTAAACTGTGTGCCTTTGTATTGTGCATGCTGCCAGTACTATGTGTTTTTATTTTGCGCCTCCTGCCGGTTTGGAACTCTTTTACGGTGTTTTGACAGGTTGAATTTTTTAGGGGAGACTCTGCCGAAATATCGGCAGAAAGTCTCGACCCTCTTTTCCTTTGTTTTTGGAGAAGAGGATGTTGTTAGTAAGTGGGCCCGGCATCGGATGGATGTCGGAAAAACCACAAGGTTCGTCACGGATTCCGAGGAATTCAGGGCGGGTCTTATCGCCTTTAGTATGTCTTGTAAAAAACTCTTGTTAGGGTGCTAGTTGAAAAAGAATAAAGCTACTCTTATCACATTTATATACCACATTCTCATATCACCTTATATGGCAAATGAGATGACAGCCACATCAATTACAATTATTTAACATTTTCTTTTTTCTTTTATGATTTATTAACATTTTTAAAATTTAAAAAAAAAAACTGTTAATTAAGCTTTCTTTATTAAAATACACTTCGTTGATTTAATTGATGTGGCATATGATATGGACATGCCACATCATGTGGTATAGAAATGTAAGATAAAAATGTGGTAAGTAAGTGCAGCATTACTCGTTGAAAAAATATAAATGCATTAACTTTTTCGAGAATGAACTTTTAATACAAATGCATTATAGGTTAAGTGAAGTTAATTTGTGGGCTCTTTCCTATAGGTTAACCTATAAATGCATTAACAAACGTTTGTTAATTCATTTCAGTCAGCAATCTTGATAGATATTCCTGAAGTGGAGCCTATAAATTGGGAGCAGTACATGCAATGGAAGCTTGGTTTGAACCAATCTTAAAGACCAAGTACAAACATGTTTATAAAATGAGGAGTGAGAATCGGACACGTCTCACAACATATGTCACACAAAAGCACAAAACAAGCTTAATCAAGTGAAATGATTAATTAAAACTCTAGTTAAGTAGTGTAAATCACTACCCTAATTAACTACTATACTCACCAAGATTAGCTTCATCCATCTTCAGCTTCCAAAATATACACTCATTCTATTCATCCTCTCTTTACCCTCTTCATCTCTCATCTAAGGTCATGACCAACAATATTACATTTGTAGTAATTATTCTCCTTGTGATGGCCTTGGCAATGGTGGCTGAGTCAACCCAACACACCACCAACGTGTATTCGCGTGGGCGTGCCACCACCGAATTCGCACGCATGAGGCGTGATGCTGGTGATGGAGAAGTGGCTACTCCACCACCACGTGCATGTAGTGACTCATCGGGCGAGGAGTGTCTGAATGAGGAGGAGGACAAGGAGGAAGAAGAGGAGGACGAGCAGGAGGGCCTGCAAACTGTAAGACCTCAAGAGGAAGGTAACACAAGGTATATAAGCTATGAAGCCCTAAAGAAGGATAATGTTCCATGCAATCGACGTGGCAGTTCTTATTATAATTGTGGTACATCTGGGCAGATCAATCCTTATCAACGTGGCTGCACTGTCATTACAAATTGTGCTCGAGAGGGATGAGGCACATTTTTTTAATTTAATTTTCTTATTTTTAAATCTTCATTATTATTTCTCTTATTTTCTTCCTTTTCTGATCACCCTAATCTATTACTATGTTTTAGGTTTTTTCTTTCTTTTCTTTCTTTTTGGAGGGGCGGTGGGAAGGAGGGGTGCTGGTGATTGTTAGTTAATACCCTTTTCTAACTTTATTTTTTTAATATAATTATTTATTTATCAGCTGGTTATTTGATATTCACCACTAGGTTTGGGAAGTTTTTGTCTTGCAATAATAGGTATTGCACCAAATATGCCATCGAAATTTGAGAATTAGGGTTTGACGGTGGTATTTTTTAATTTTTTGGTACCGAATGTTTGGTTTGTTGTAATGGCAATCAGCGCCGGCCTGAGATTTTAGGGTCCCAAAAAAAAAAAAAGAATGAGGCGTGCATACAACTATTCACAGGCAAGGACAATTCTTTGTTTATATATATGTATATAAAGGAGTCCGAAATGAAAAAATATTTGAATAAATTGTTGTTAAATTATTTGATCCAAGATATTTTTTTTTAGTATTTGTAATTTGATTTTAGATATAAATAAAGCTCAAGAAACCAGCTTAGGCACTAAAACAACCATTATTGGGCGACATATTACGTGGGACCTTTAAGTGGTGTTTTTTGGTGTCTCGGAATTGAAGGTCATTTCCGATTTGTTATCAACAGTGTCACTTGTAGATCTCATTGGTCAAATGGAAGAAGGAAACCTCAGGCCGATTTATCTAGAGCCACGGACCGTGTTGATAGTGATGCCCATACTTCATTGCCTTAGCTCATATACGAGTAATAGATTGTCGATCCATTTGATTTATTATTTTTATCATAGAAAGGTCAATAAAATAGAAAAGGAGGGACAAATAAGCATGCACACAGAGAATTCACGCTTAAGGAGAATCCCGGCCAATTTCCATAACGGCTTGTTTAGATTAAGCGATGTCGGAGGAGGGAGAAATTTTTGCATATTCCGAGTACACCAGTTGGTTGGTGTTCCATCCAATATTCATAGGACATATAGATATATTTTATTTTTATTTTAAAAAAATTGTGTTGTAATTAAGTTGGAGAGTCCAAACCACATGTCCTATGTATATTGGCTGGTGTACCCGGAACATGCAAAAATTTCTCTCTTTGACATCCCTCAATCCAAACAGGGCCTTAAGGAAATTTGCTCGGGTTCTCTGAAGCATGAATTCTCTATGTGCATGTTCCTAGTTCACCAACTGCTGAAGATGCTTCTGATGAAGTGCGTGCTAAGTAGGGGTGGGCATCGAGACCAGAAATCCGGACACCAAGCCATACCAGAAGAAAAAAATCGTGTTGACTAAAACGTCAACAAACTGACACCAAACCAGATCGAACCAGTTCAAACCAGTTCCAGTGCCAGTTTCACACCTTATAAAACCGCACCAGACCGGTCGTGTATTATTATTATTATTTTTAAATAATTTAAGTCCAATGCTAAATTTCTAATCCCATAAATAATATTTCCCCAAACCCAACTTCAAAGCACCTCTCTTTTCTAGGCCCAATTATCTCTCTTTGCATGAATTGGGTCATTTGTGAATTTTTAAGCCCAACAAATAAAATTTTAGTTGGAATTTATAAAAAAATAATACTAATTTGAAAAATATATAATAAAAAATCCGATCCAAAACCGAAAATCGCACCGGAACTGGTTTAAACCGAACCGAATGGTTTTATAAATTTTTTCATCAAAATCGGACCGAACCGCACTAGTTGAATAATACTGATTCTAGTGTGAGGTGAAAACTAGACCGGACCTCACCCACCCCTAGTGCTAAGTATGACAAGCATGTTGATAATGATTGTTAGGCCAAATGCTACATTCTGGCCCCTATGAATGAGGAACTCGAGAAACAGCATGAGCATATGATCCATGTTGCTGACATGATATTTCATCTTTGTGAGCTTTATAGAGAAGGCACACACAACATGCATTATAGCGCTGTGAGTGAGCTTTTGAGAACCAAGATGGTCAAGAGAGTACCAATTCACCAACATGAACTGAAGATGATTGGACTCATTGAGCAGCTGGAAAGTCTTGACAGTTCATTGGACTATAATTTGGCCACTCACATCTTCCTTGCGTCCTTTTTTGATTCATTCTCCCAGTTTGTTATGAACTATAATGTGGGGAAGATGGAGCACACTCTTTCAGAGCTTTTGAATATGTGTGTGACTGCTGAAAAGACCTTCAAGAAGAAAGAAGGGAATGGGACAGTAGCTGTATTTGAGAAGGGATCAACTTCTTCTACTAAGCCTAATTAGAAAGGCAAAGGAAAATTCAAAACCAAGAAGAAGAAGGGGAACCCTACTCTCAAACCCAAAAGAGGTGTCAAGAAGAAGCAGGAAGAAGATAAGGAGGTGAGGGGACCATGTTTCCATTGTGGCAAACCTAGACACTAGAAGAGGAATTGCCTGGCTTATTTGGCGGGCTTGAGGGGCAATAGAGCTGAAGATACATATCACTTTGCCACTAAACTCTAAACAAATTATTATACCTTACTTGAGTCTAACAAAAACAATGATCTATTGTAGGTCATGTTGCTGCAGAGACAGGGAACAAATAGGATGCTCATGGAGGATGAATCGTGTTGAGATTTGGATCATCGAACATGTTTTCTTTTGTTTACCTCATGGAGGTCTTTTATAGTACCTATGAACTTATTTAGTTTATTTGGATATGTATATATAAAGTACTTATTCACTATCTTCATGTTTTAGAAGATAGTCTTATCATTTGTATGACAAAAACCACTAGTTTGCTTTATATGTGACTATTCGTATTATGCTAATATGATGTTTGACCTCTTTATGTTTTATGAGATGAATATATGAATGTGTTCTTACATTGATTGTTTAGAATATTGAGATGTGATTCCATTGAGGATCAAAGTATTAGATAAATCTTATAATAAGAATGATTTCTAAAAATTTAAACATCATAATCAAGATAATATTCATAGGATAAGCAATATGTGGTTATTTAAACGGTTCCAATTCTTACCAATGAGTTGCATCTAAGGATTGAGAAATCCAAACATTCTAAGTTTAGAACTAGAATAGAAATCATAGAACCTATATAAGATATATCTAAGTAATAATGGAATTAAATCCATTATCTTTTCTATAGCATTCACCGATGATCACTCTTGGTTGGATTAAACCTGGTTTGAAATCCAAAAGATTTAGGATTTTAAGAAAGCAAGAAAAGGGGAAACTGTGGAGAGCATAAATACTCTTTTAAATGTTAAAAGGGTTAATGCTTGAATAAGATATCTCTTAAAAGTTAAAGAGCTTAAACATCTCAATGAATGAGCTTCATCACAAAAGATAATAAAGTATGATCTTTCATGATAAGTCATTAAAATTCCTCCTCATGTCCTATGTCCAAAGATAACAACATAATTAAAAGGTCCAATTGAACGGTAATAGGGTTGAAATTGTTATCTCAAACATAAAGTTATAAACTTTATAGTTTGATAAACAATCTTGTGGGACATCCTAGATCACCTGAAGGATGTCATATCCATTAAAGAAGTTAATAGATGCTTGTTGCAAAACAAGTAAAAGGAATGATTGTAAACCACAAGTGAATTGACAGTTCAACTCCTTTTATCCACTCACCACATTTAAAGCTCCAAGAAGTTGATCAGATATGGTGTGTTACACCAACCATGTAATAATGGTGAAGGTTAACAAGTAACTTTCTTCTTGATCATAATAAAATTATATGATGACATGAAGTATAACCTTCAATCAAGGAGCCGGATTATATATATAAGATGAATAACATCCAAGACAAATAGTATTTTTAAATAAGCATTTTAGAAATGGCTATATTCCAAAAGAAAAAGTGGGAGCCCGTTCAAGGTCTAAAGAAGAAACGCCCTCACCAAGTGAGATCTTCCTAAAAGAAATCTAAAATAGTATAAATGAAATATTCATAAGCTTATCAATAAGTATATGATCATATATGATATGACCAAGATATTGCAACACAAGTAGCACTTAATATATGCATATATTAGGGACAATATTGTAACACTCCAAGATCAGAACTCTGGACAACTGATAAGTATGTCTTTTGAGTTATAAGAACACAAATAGACAAAAGGCGAAGTAAGCAAAGAGAGAAATTGTTAGAGCAAAAGAGTGGAAGCGTACACCTGTGTTGACTCTAATCCAATCCTAATTCTTGTAATATAGGAACAAACTCTAGAAAGATGTTCTAGATAATCTTGAACGTTGTGACAATGATTGATTCACGACCTAGAGTATTGTTTTAGAGAATGACCGAATTGTATTGCAATATAAAACTGACTAGGTTCTTTAAATGAATTATATTTAGCTTGGGTAACCATGACATACTACTAGATGTTAACCATGGTTTTTGGAAGCCCTGTAAGCACTAATTATAATTAGCCTTCGCCAATAGGGAGAATTGTATGGAGGGATACAATTCATATTAGATTTAGAAGAAGTCATACTTACCCACGACCTCGTTAATTAGAAGATATAAGATCGCACACCGAAAAGGAGTGGATTGAGAATTAGCAGAGAAGAAAAGATTTTGTTGTTTGGTCAAAGTCAAAGTCAAAGTCAAAGTCAAAGTCAAGGTCAAAGGTCAACTGTTGACGACACTTTACACAGTCAACACAGGTTGATAGGGATCAATACTTGTTAGACAATTTAGTGACTTAATTATTAAGTCATTAAACTAATTAAACTAATTAGAATAGTTTAATTATTCAATTAAAGTTAAAGAACTTTGACTGAGTCCCACATGACTTAAAGAATTAAACAAATGGACCATATGACTTTAAACATATGTAATACATTATAGGATAAAAGTGAAGGACCTAGATAGCCCAAAAATAGGCCACTAAAGGGGAGGTGTGGCACCCACATGTGTCAAATGTATGAGTTTATGTATTGTAAGCCATAACACACCATCTTGTTTTAGGGTTGTCAAGTTGGTAATTTGGAAGATATATATGAAATATCACACCTCTCTCCCAAGACTCCTTGGCCGGCCACTTGGTAGAGTGAGGGCCATCACTCTCTTCTCTCCAAAAAATTTCTTCTCTCATCTCAATCATCCTTGGTGAAGAGCTTTGGGGAGGTGCATATCCTTTCTACTTATTTGAAGAGCATAGTGGAGCATCAACAAGCAAGAGATCAAATCCATTACTTGAACACCTAAATAGGTTTCAAGATTTTCTCCAAAGATAACCATTCTTCATCCCTTCCCTTAAATTTAGATTAAAGAGTCAAAGGTACAACTTTTGATAAACCTAAAAAGATTGGGACTAAGGACTTGCATGAGTTTCTAGTTTTCGATTTTGTTTCCGCTAATTTAATATGAGTTATGTTTATACTAGATAATTCATTTTCCTATACATAATAGGTTTAGAGAAATACCCAACACATAATTTTCCCTTCAAAGGAAGGGCTTTCGAATTTGAGAATCTCAAATTCAAATGATTTCAAATGAGTTCTACACTAGGAACTTGAGTCGATTTACAAATGAGTTCTCTCTCTCTCTCTCTCTCTCTCTTCATGTCTATTTGATCTGGTATCGATGTAGATCTATTAGAGCAGTTCCACCACTCTACCCTTTGCCCAAGCAAGGGGGGGCCTAGGCCCAAAAAGGGCTTCAAGGGACAAATGCTACCAGGGCTGTTGGTGGGCTCCACAAGCATGGGCTAGCCCTCAGGCAAAACTAGCCCTTTCTCTAGCCTGGGTTTGCTGATGTCAGCAACCAAAAAAAAATCTTATAAATAATACTAAAAATGTCATATTTTAAATAAAATAAATACTTAGTCATTTTTTCACTTCCCACACCAAAACTCTATACAAATTCCTCTCCTCATATCTCATGTGAATAGTGGTTGCCATAGCAATGGGTGGAAACACCACAAGCCTTTTGCAAGGGCTGCCACAATTCATGTGAATAGTAATAGCCCTTGCCTCCCCTTGCCCTTTGCCATGTCAAATGGGTGGAAGTGCTCTTAGGTCTTATTCATAGTAGATCTAATTATTTTTCCTTTTTTTTTTTTCATTTTTGGATGCAATTTTTCTTTTGATATGATTTTTGATCTTTTGTTGCTGAAAAAAGTGGGAAAATGGAAGGAAAATTTTGTAATTATTAGAATCTGTACTTTTTATATATATAAAAAAAATCAAATAACAACTTCTCCCTTTATTAAAACATTAATTTCATCACATAGTTGTCAATTATTTTAAGGAAAAAGCTTGGTTGCTTAAATATGAGGAACTTCTCAAAATAAATGGGATTTAAACACTTGTCAATTTCATTAACTTTTTCCTTTTCTGAAATTCTTTTAACTTTCTTTGTTTTGGAATTCTCAGTTTTAAGAAGCAAAGCTTGAAGGAAACATGCACTTAAATTTAAATTTATTGGATTTTATGCTACAATATACATGAATCACACATTTAAAGAGGTAGAAGCGAATTTTAATTCTTATTAAGCCTAATGCTATCCAATTTCCCAAATATCTTTCTAGGTCTAATCTCATTTATGCACACAAAAAAAAAGGGGGGTTCTTAGATCTAGGTCCAAAACGATTAGCTGTTATTGGGTCTAGTCCTCGTGTTTTTGGTTTTAGATGTAGGTCCTTTAACATTTATTACTTTTTTGTTGTGTCGATTTTACCCTTTAAGGTAAATAAGGAAAACACATTGAAAATCTAAATTTAATACATTATTTCCTTGAAATTGAATTACAAATTTTGAATTTTGAATTTTTTTCCTTGATAATATTCCTAATATATAGATAAAATACAATTTAATCAATAAAAAGTAAAGACTCACATATTATACCAATCGATCAGACAAGCACCCACATTAAATTATGTACCTGACATACAGGTACATAATGTTAATACATACAGGTATATGTGTACCTGCCTTACAGGTAAGTGTTTTTTTCTTGAGTTTTCTTAAGCAGTGTTTTCTGGAGGTTCATATTTATATACATATGTACATGTCTTCCATGTAATAGTGTTTTTTTTTTTTTTCCAAAGAAATTTTGTATGGATTTTTATCTCAGTTGAGTTTAAAGATCCATACCAAGATATTATGAGTTCAATTAGCTGGGCTAGAGGGTATAACTACCTAGACTAGAGGTAATTTATGAATTTAATTACCTGGACCAGAGGTAATTTATGGGTTTAATTGCCTGCATACTGCATACGAGGTGTATGCATAGGTACCTTATCTATTGTTAAGGTATGAAGTTTTTA